TCCTGGAAGACCACTACTGTATGCTGTGTTCTCACAGATGAATAGCAAAAATAATAACTAATGTAATAATAATGTAATAAATAATGATATTCTGTTTTGTGGTTCTTGAAAATAATTATCACTGGAATTGGTCCTGTAACATTGTCAGATATAAGACTTATGTGGGTCAATAAGAGATTAAATTTATGTTTTGTTTCTGTCAAGTTTTAAGTGGAGTAAAGACAGAATAAAGGCACAGCTGACCAAACAATAACAAGATAAAGAGTAATTACGATTAAACAGTAGAGAGCAGACAGGCAGCATATGTGTACATTGGTTTCATAGATTACTGAGGCCCAGACCATGTGACAGACAGGCTCCTACTGAGCTAAGTCATGCTTCACAGTAACAGTGACAAAGCACAATGAAGATTTTAAACAGCACAAATCTCCTACACAATCTGACGTATACAGCTGTGGTTATTTTGATAACTTAAAACATTACTCACTGTCTGCATTTAGTGTCTTAGCTTTATAAGGCTGCTACAAAGAAACAGGGGACTTGATCCACCCTCAGTCTTTTATTCATTGTCCAAGTTAAGGTTTCACTAAAGCGCTTGTTCTTATTTTGGCTGCATCCCCGGGAAACTCCAGTCCTAATCCAACAGTGTCACTCAAGTGCAATAGTCCAAAGGTTCAGTGCTGCCTTGGTGGCTTCATCACCTGATACTCTCACTGTGAAGGTTAAAAAGAGGCTGTAACATGCTACAACTGTGTCCAAGAATCACATTTTCTATCAGTCTGGGTGTGCGCACATAACTCTCTTGTTTGAACATGAATTTTGTTTGTTGTTTTAGTATGCAGAGGAAATAAACTATGACTACAACGTAATATAACAGGATGAAAGAAATTGTTAATGTAGATTTAAAGGTGCACTTTGGAGCTTTCTGAGGGGAGGGTCCGCCACCTGTTTGTCTCAGTGATAATCTTATTGTTTTGTCTGGAATATTCCACAGTATGGCATAGATCAGGCCTGTAATTTATCTTGGTGGTATCACATGCTTGTCTTTATGGAAACAGACAAGCCTAATGCCATATTTTAGCATATTCCAGGTAAAGCAATAACATCTCCATGGAGACAAACAGTCAAAAAGTTACACAGTGCATCTTTAAGACTGTTTTTTTTTATTTTATTATCAACTGAATAGCACCAATTGTATGCATGTTCTATTTTTACTACAATGAAAGTTTGTGGTCACTATATTCACCACTGGCAGGTTGTGGAGGGTCGTTTTTAGCAGCAACACTCATATAAGTGGCGCGTGGGAGAGAGGCCAGGTATCTTAATCCTCCCGGGATTCCCCACTAAGAGATCCCATTAGTGCGGATAAGAGCTGTAATGTAGTCGGGCTGGGCAGTGCGCTCTACCCCCACGGTCTGGCTCTGACCCCTATCTGATCCCTCACTAACTGGAATCACAGTCCTGGCTCCAGCAGGCAGTAAAAACGACCAATGAACTGTAAACCATCCTGATGCCTTAATGAACAACATACACACAGCAACAAGTGGGAGAAAAGGCAGCCATAAATGTGAAAAGAGCAGCCATATTTGCAGATACCGTAGAAACCACTTCCAACACTGCACTCACTCAGACAATTCACCGTCTCAGTGCTTTGGGCCTAACCGTGGCTTTTACAATGGCACAATGCAATTCCCATTGTGTACTAAAGGTTTATAAGAGCAGGTGTATTTCAAGTTCTATCATTTGTAAGCAGGATGCACTCAGATATTTCAGTAGTGTTCTGCATGTGGACCCATAAATGGCCCAAAGTTTAAGATGGGTCAGAATGTGTCAGAGAGTAAACATCATTAAACTGGCATATCGCAGATGCTGGTTTGTGGTTAATATTTTTTGTAATTATATGACTTGACCCACATGATTATATTTTTAACATCTGTGTGGGTATTTCCTTGAAACATGACAGCCACTGTGTAGCCCACATCTGTAGTTATAGAGCCTATATTTATGTTGCTTTAAAGTTATTTCTGCTTAGTTTCTCTGAAAAAAAAAAGAACTAAACAATTTGTTTAGTTAGTCTTATTATTATGAAAAAGCATAAAACTTTGTGTTTGAATAGACTGAAACTACAGATCCTACCCATTATACACTCCTCTTGCCCTCTGTGTCATCTCATATTATTGTCCAATTGTGATGTCCATTTGAATGAAGGCACACTATAAAAATACCCCCTTCCCTCTTGGGATAATATTTGCAGGTGTCATTTGCCCATTATTCTGAGAGAAGAGTGTGGAGATGAGGAGAGACAGGCACAGCGTCAGGAGTCAGGGCAGGAACAGCTCATTTGCTGATGCCCCACTGTGTTAATTCAACCCCTGCATGAGTGTGTATGTTTTCACACTGACACACTGAAGGGACTGGACTGAGAGCAGAGCAGAAGACCTCAACTGTGGACAAAGAAAGACAGACAAAGGTAGGGCACACATTCTGACATGGATTAGATTGTGTTTCGTTGTAATGTATGGCTAGGCCTGTTCTATAAACACCAAAATATCAGTATATCGTGATACTAAATTTGGTGATACAGTGAATGGTAAATAGTCACCTTTTTATGTAGCGCTTTTCCACTTTCAAGGCACTCAAAGTGCTTTACATTAAGAAACCACTCACCCATTCAAACACACATTCATACACCAGTGCACAGACACTGGGTGAGGCTGGTTAAGTGTCTTGCCTAAGGACACAATGACAGCATTCACCTGTGGGAGCTGGAATCACTCCTACAGCTAGTATATTTCATAAAAAATGTTTGTGACAGTGCTACAATTTTGTGGTTTGCTTAGAGAAAGGAAAATTGTTTATACTACACATTTTGACTACTTCATACTTGTGCAGATAGTGTTTTAATAACAAATAAAAAATTATATATGTGGTTCATATCATATTATTGTATTTTAACCCATGTATTGTGTCATAACAAATTGTGAGGGACTCTGAGTTCAACCCCTAATTAATGCCTACAGCTTTTACTTAAGATCACTGCAAATTTTAATTTAATGTAGTTTCTCTGCAGGTTTTGAGCATCTCTAGACTAGCTTGGACAGAAAAATCTTGTCAAACTTCCCTTGTCTCTCACCAGATTTAACCTTATAAGTAAAATTTCAAGAAAATGCCACCTAACCCTAAACTATAAATCATAACTGCTGGGAGCCACTTTGGCAGACTCTTTCTCTACTGTATGTGGGTTCACAGATGGTTTTAATAGGGCCTGATAAGAAATGCTCAGAAGCTGTGAAAGGAAGCTCTGCATTTTCTGTACTAAATACCATGACAGACAAAAACACATAGATCACACCCCCTGTTGATTAAGGCATGCAGCCCCCGTCCATGACCAGTGCAGACTCAACAACAAAGGGATAAACTGCACTTAACCACATCAAGATTGACTTTGGGAAAAAATAAATCACCCATGTCAGCACAACTCAAGGATTATACCGCTATTTAAGCTACTGAGAGGAAAATGGGTAGCTGACTATATTCTGACTATATTCAGCTGCTGCAAGTCCGCAATGAAATCACAGAAAAATCAAATAATATTCAAACAAAAGCTTAAGATATCACTTCAAAACCAGTTCAAACATGTTGTAGCATAGTCAGATAACTCAATAATCTCGTATTTGGTCTGATCTTCAAAAACACCTGGTGACATGACTCAAGTTAATCAATTCTGGAATACGTTAACAGCTGCATTTGGATAGGAAGATAAAATGATATATATATTTTTTTAAATATAGTATAGTCTTTCATTTTCTTTCTCTTTCATTTGTCATGTTGGTTTGCCCTTTTTTGCAAAAATTTCATGTGTGTGACAAATCAGAAATAAATAAAATAAAATCAGATGTAACCGTTTACATGGTGTTTCAATAACTAAAGAAATCATACAATGATCAGAGTTTTTGGTGGGCATGTTAAAGATAGCAAGCAATATGTATAAGTAAATCCAATGTAAAATGAATCCTAAAAGTACTGATTCTACTGCAAGCAGTGATGTGGATATTTTGTTACTTCTAGGATCAAAAATCCAACTGCAGCCCTGAAAGATAAAATGTTATAATATTAAAATCACTTCAAAGAGGATGGTTTGGTTTAAGACAGGAGAGAAGAGGGCTGACTTGTCCTGAACGACTCAGCGTCAACTGGAAAATGGACTTCGTGCAGCTACACGTCAGGAGCAGATTCCTGAAGCAGAAAGTGAAAAGAGAGTTGCTGAAAAATCTGCTCTGCACACTTCGAGTATATTGTCTACTGGCAGCAAAATAGAGAGAATAGAGGGAATTCTGATGACTGGTCAAAAACAGTGTAAAAAAAAAAAAAAAAAAAAAAAAGAGGTTTATTACAACAACTTAGGACCAGAGGCCAGAGCAAGCACAAGGATATAAAGCATTTGCAACATTTCACTTCTGAATTACAGCTAAAATGGCAAAATTATTAAACCATAAACACAAAAAGCAAACAATACCCTTAAGTTGTGTATTTTGTGTGGTAGTTCATATGCCTGTTTTATATTCATATATCTAAGTTACTATATTTTGTGCTGAACTGGTATGTGTAAGATTGGAGTAGAGTGCAATTTTTATTTTGGTGTCAGTACCTTGTGAATTACTTCAGCTTTATAAGATTTAGTGCCCTCTTGAGGACCATCATTGCAAGTACGTTGCAGAGGAAACACTCAGGGATATTGTTTAGGTGAATTAACCCACAAAGGGTATGTTTGGATTAAAGGACATTGTGCATTAAGTGTTGTTGTGACATATGCATTTTAACACTTCAAACTTACTGCCTGTCAGGGCTAAGTAAAACACTCAAATACCCTCGAATGCAGAACAATATAAAACTGTAAATTCTAGGAGTGTCTTAATTTAACATGCTGTAAAAAGTTACATTTTGATTACTTGTTACATTTGTCACTGAACAGCCTTGAAAAGAATAATCCTAACAAAAAATGCTGTATTTATAGATTTATTAATTTATAATACAAGCTTTTGTTTACCTCTTGCATTTTAGTCTTTACATGGTTCATACAGAGCTAAACTTCATAGCAGTGACACAAAGTGACAACAAACACAAAACCCAAGACACTCAATGGAAGGAATCAAGAGGTTTCCATCTTTTTCCCGGTGCACCACCATTTTAAGACCACATGCCCTCACTGTACAGTGTCACATGCATTTCACTACGCCAGGCTCACTTCCACACACACAGTCACACGAAAATTCAACAAATACCTATGCACAAGATTAAAATTGATATTTAAATTTTATATTAATGATATTAATGAATTCCACAATAAAAGGCAAACAAGAAGTAAAGACAGCGTTTCAAATGTAGAGAAGGATGTCTACCATGATTTTCCTCTTGTTATTGTCCATGTTCCTACACTCCATCTTCAAATGCTGCTTCTTCTGTCTGCTTTGAACTGGCCTGCCTTAGCGGCTTTACTCAATAAAGAATATTTCATTAAGTCTTAGCCAAAGGTGGCATTGCCACACCAAATGGCCAATGAGAAAAACATAATTAAACTCCATTTTCAGCGTTTTAATCTCTTCCAAAGATGGCTGCTGTCGATTACCAGCTTGCACATCCATCGGGCATTCCCGGTCACGTTACCACCAAATGTGTTCAATGCAGAATGGACCGATAAGCAAGGGTAGAAAGAGTTCAAGAAGAATGGCACATTTTATCTTGGTTATTCAAATGTAAAATCACTATGTTAGATGATGAAGTGCCATAGAAGATTAACACCACTCTAAAGGTGAAGAACATCAATATGAGAAGAAGGCAGGGTTAGATACACAACCTCCACAGATCAGTTGTCAGCAGTCACACTGTAGACCCTTGAAATGTGTCCTGCTGCAAACAGGTCCATTGTGGTTTCATCTTTGAATAAAAGGTTCTTCTAGTAAAAGGTGAATGCTGTTACCATGTTGGCACCAAAAGCAAACTTTGGAGAAAAGTTACGCTAAAGCAGATGAAACTGCAGCCTGACTCTGAACTCCAGAGCGGGTGCCAGTGAAGAGGATGAACAAGGCTGGATGTATGCAGGTCTGACAGCTTTAGAAGAGGAGGCAGCAGTTACTCTCTGTGGTTTTCTCTCTGTTTCTTTGACCTACAAGTACAGGAAACAGTAACAGGCATTAAAGGAACTGTATGTAGCCTGCACTCTACCGCAGTCACAACTGAATCTGGGTTGCCAGTGCCTTAACCTGCTGTTAAAGGACACATACACAGCATGACTCATGTGAAAGCTTAAAACCTCCAAAATTCATCCACTGAGCTGCAGAGGCGGCACTAGCACTGACTAATGACTGACTGCAGGTGCTAGAGTTTAGGATTCACATCTGAACTGGGTTTCAGCCCTGAAACTGGCAACCCAAATCATGTGAATTTCATTCCGCTTTCTTATTGGATAATCATCTTGAGAACCAAAATACCAAATTATAACATAAATAAATAGGATATTATGTCCAATGTTTTTGTAAATAATAATAATCTGCATTAAAATTGTTATCAGTGAAAGATATATTTGATTTGAACATGTTTACCTCATATCTCAGGACACAGTCAGGTAATGTTTATGGAATATGAAATCAACATTTTACATACGGTTGCTTTAAGATTACAATTCTAGCCACAATGTGAAGCATACACATGCTGCCAAAATAAATATTTTTTTTAATTTATTAAGAATACACTGATCCAACTTTTTCCCAAACTGGTCCAAGTATAAAAATTTTGAGCACTCAATAAGACTCCAAACATGCGATTTAGGTAGTTGAGATTTTATCTCTAGATTTATAACATTCACTCACCCCTCAGTGCTAAGTTGAGGTAATTTAGCACCATGAAACAGTAAAAGTTTTACAATAAATAGATTGTTAACAAAATACTTTATGCTGTAAATCCTCATCAGGAAAATCACTGTTATTACTAATGTAGAGTTTAAAGAGAAAGGAATAATCTTACCATGAGAGTTGGGCTCCGGAAGAGTCTCTCTGGCCACCAAATGCATAACTGTAGTTCGTCCAGGAGGTAGCTTTAGAGCTTGAAATAAAATAAATTTAGGAACGAAAATAAGTACAGCACACTTAAAAAGCCTGCCTGAGGTTGTTGGAGTTAAAGCTCTGGGTACAGAGTTCATGGTGTTAGCCATTTAAAGAGATTAAAGATACCACAGGAACAATCCACAGATCTGACAACTGTTACTATAACAACAAGGGGTTCTCTGTCTCATGTTCAAGGCCAAGATCATTCAGGAATGCTTCTATATATGTGGATATACATACTTAAAGTCAACAGACCACATTTCCCCTTAAAATGCAATTGTCTCATCTTTCAGAATGATACTAGTCAACTATATTAAGAACTTACCTCCCAGAGTGACGTTGCCATGAAGGAAGCGTCCCTGAAAAATGAGCCGCAGTATACTAGGGCTACTCACGCGCTCCTCTTCCCATCCTGTCAAATAATAAGATGTGCCACTTTAGCCAATGTATCATAAATAATAGTTGAAAAACACGCAAATACATGCATGCTATCATAACAAGACACATACCTGCAGGCCAGTTTTCAAACACATGCTTAGCAATGTCTGTGGCCGAATCATTTGGGGAAAAAGTGAAGTCTTGTGTTTTTCCACTGACTAGGATAAGGCGGAGGTGCACCTAAAACACACAGTGAAACATTTTAGTGCATCATTAGCAGTAGAGGAATCCCACCCTTTACTTCTTCTAACCTGGCCAAGCAGGAGATGACCTTCACATGGCTGTAAATAAATAGGCATTCCAGTCTAATTACATTTATCCACACCAGTGCTCCATCCATTGACTGTGCAACTTCATTCTACAGGCTTATGCTGAAGTGAGCCCCTGTTGTGTGGCACAACAAATAAGTGTGTGCAAGAACACTAGCCCTTTGGTTTAGAGCCAACTATGCACAGTTCTCTCTGTGGGCTGGTGGCCCATGCAAAAAATCCAGGTGTTCCAGACAGCTCTGGGTCTTCTGATCAGAATTAAATGGCAGGTGCAACTATAAAGGTATAAATATTATCCTCCTGGTATTTTCAGAAACCATCTCGTACTTTGATTTCAATTACAATGTTCCATAATCAACTTAATTTAGCAAGATAAAAAGTTTATATAAAAAAGAGAGAGAGAGAGAGAGAATCTAATATCAAACTATGATTTCTACACTGACACTGAAATTAAACAGTAATTTTCAAATAGATTAAGTCATGAACTTTCTTACATCACAAATCACAGAGGGGAGAACAAAGAGAGCCACAGGGTGTGACGTCAGGAATGCCCCAACTCTGAGCTGTTTACAAATACAATCTGCCTTTGGTGAACCCCTCCCCCCACAAACCAGATAACCTTAATGTTGGGTTGCACATCCATGTCATCATTACCAAGCCCTGCCCCCATTTCCCCCTCTTTCATCTCCAGCAAAATAAAAACAGTGTCAAATCTGCCTGGTTACAAATGGCAGCATCCAATCACCCACATCTGAGATGAACATTTAATACCTTCCTATATACATTGTTTTAAAGTCATATATATATTTACTTTGACCATTTTAACTTTATGCCACATGCACAAATCCTGCAAATATAAGTGTTGATTTCAATCAATCAAGTGGGCATAAAAGAGGTACATATTATACATATTGTAGTTATATAGTATAAAGTGATATTACTGTTTGTAACATGGACATTTTGGGAGAGAGTGTGACCTGGACATATATGAGGGTCAAATTGGCACCAAAACCTTGAAAGGAAAGTAGGGCACAGTTTTAACTGAGATTAGACAGATGGTGTTAGAGGAGCACTAGTCAAGTGTTTATGGACAGTTGCTAATCCATGAACCCCAGCAACCAACCCCCTCAAAAACTACAATTCATACTTCCTCACTACTTCCTATTATTGTTTCTTATGTAAAAAGCCTATATGTGTATATGTTTGAGCCCTGGTAGATGCTTATAGCAAGAAACTTTTGTCCAAAAATTGCAGAGTATCACAACAGCAACCAATGATATGTGCTGCAAAACATGTAATATCATGCAAAAAATCGTTGGAGCTTACCATGTCTAGTTCTCTCTGGCTGGTCATGGTTGAGACAGGATGAAGGCGGTGATGATGTGCAGACAAGGCAGGTCTGAGTGCTTCAGCTGCTAGAGAGGGCTATAGCCCTAATACAAACAACACACACACAGCTATCACAAACTGGTACTAAAGCGTCTTTAATGCATTGTCATATTATCTGGAAATTATGGATAGAAATTACTACTAAAAAAACTGTTAGAAGTTTCTATGCAGACAGGCTAGTGTATTTTACACATGTGTACATACACATTAGAAGCAAGTCTTAGTAAATCTGTAATATTAATGACACTGACGTCTTTCCTATGTGCAGATTTGTTAAATGACCTGAGCGGTAAACATTTACACAACACAATCCTAATTAACGTTACGTTCACATTTGTCAATAATATTAACCAGAATTACCGTATGTTTTAAGAATGATAAACCATCAGAAACGATAAAACCTTTGTAAAAGGCTCACCAAATGCTGAGGGCAAGTAACAACGACAGCCTTCAAAGCTAACGGGCAGACACTTTGTTTTGAGCTGGCCAGCAAGACAAATAGTATATTTCTTTGTACCTTATTAAACAAAACCAGTCAAGCATATTCTAAAACAATTACACAAAATCTTTGTTCTACAGGGAACCCAGAGCATCTAAAGGTTTGCTCTTTGAGTTCGCTGTTAGCTGCTTTAGTCAATGCTAACTGGAAGCTAATCTGCTAACACACAAAAATACCCAGTTTTATTCGACCGCTCTCACCTGCATTTGATTACAATTGTGAAAACTGACATCAAGATGAGCTGACAACCAAGTAGTTGTCGTGTTCTATGAGTAAAACATCGAAAGTATCACGATTAAATTGATCAGTATATTGCTCGAACAGGCGAAAAAAAAAAAACACCGGAAGTCAGCTGGTTGTAAACACAGATGCTACCGCAAAGGTGACTGGGAATTGATGTCCTCAATCAGAAACCATCGTTTTTTGTTTAACTGCCATCTTATTTTTCATCACCATCCACTGTGACTAATCTTTCCCTTTTTTTGTTCATTTATTTATGCAAGCTACTTATCAAAATATTGTCAGTATTTTTTTTACTTTTTATATTGTCACAGAAAAGATAAATGTCATCTACCCTATGTCAGTGATTCTCAAGGTTTCATCCAGGGTCATTAATTGTGAAAACACTTAACATGACTTAAATATGCCTTTTACATTTTCTTATGATACAATCCCAAACCTGTGTTTTTGGTGGAAAGAACTACCCCAACAAATTAAGATAAAATATGATTTGATTTGAAATTCTCAGGTGGTCCTTGTCCTCAAAAAGGTTTGCAAACCCCTGTCCTACAAATTACTATAGGCTGATTTGCAATCCCTGTCCCTGGTTAGGCTTTTAAAGGTCTTAGAATTGAAAATATAAAATAATAAACATAATTCAAATTCACAAAAGACAAAAGAAGAAAAGAAGCAAAGTGAACATTTTGGGCTTAGCAATTCTCTTAATTTCTGTGGATAATGAGAACAGCCAACTGTCCCAGTGCAGTCCTGAAGTTGAAGTTGATGAGCTTTGTGTGATCTTGTTGCTGTTTGGTTACTGTACTTTCAAAACTCAATAAATCATTATTCGGATGAATGGATTATTCTTGTGTGGCACCGAAGCTTTCCTTCCATGATTTCGTTGCTTGGTTTGTGACTGACTGTTGTTTTTATCTGTATTCTGAGAATCACTTTTAAATTGATCCTAGTGAATCCGTGTGTTTTGTGGCTTCTGTTGCAAAGTATAGGAGAGTCCATGTACAGCAAAGTTCAGTAATATTTGTAATAGTTGGGGTTCAAGGACCAGTGTGTTGTTTGAACAGTTTTTGTTTTTAGATTTAGTTTTTAATGGGAAAAACAGATGGGCATTGAGTAAAATTTAGAACCAGCATATTTTGAATGAGCCACTGACTAATTTTACACCTGTGACTTGTGACTAGGGCTGAGTATCATTAAGAAGCTGCCAATATGATACATACCTCAATACATAGGTGCTGCTACGATATATTTCCATACAGTGAGTTGTCCATTCCATACAATTCGATGTATCTTTCAAATATATTCGATATTTTGGTTCAGTAAAACGTAATGGCTAAATCATTCCTGTGAGACTTAAAGTCTGTTAAACCACTTGTGCAAAGTGAATATGAAGCACATGAATGTGAAGCACAACAAAACAATAAATAAGTCAAATGTGTTGCAAGAAAGAGTTTCCTTACTCTAAACAAGCAACAAAACACTGAAACAAAGTAATTTAGCAAAAAATACCAAAAAATACTCTTGATGATATATCGATAGAGCAGCCCATGATATCGATACTGTATCATTACATTAAACAATACAATATATTTATATTGCGATATTTTTGCACACCCCTACTTGTGACTCCAAATTCAAGTGTTATGTTTATGTATTCATTGCTTCAAAGATGAAAGTATGCTATGCCATATGAACATGGCCTATCTGTGTTCAACTAGGTTGGTATGAAAGTATAATATATCCTTGTAAAGTGTGAAATAGCATTATATCAGTGGATGTAGTGAAGATACCTTATCTTGAACAGAATTTGATCTAAATAGTTACTGAAGTAGACTACTTAGATCTTTGAAAATAAAACTTTAGATAAGAAATTTCTAATCATTAATGAAACTCTCTTTAAAAACTGGTAGGTCTACATCTAGAATACCAAATGGGAGAAAATAAAATGTAATCGAAAATTGTTATTGATCAATATGAAGAAAAATATTATGCTTATTTTTTATCGTCTTGCACAGGTTACTTGAACTTGAACATCTCGGCTGTTGCACAGATTTTCAAACTTTGTGAATGTGGAAACCTCACTAAACTGGTGAGTTAGCTATTATTAGTAGGCCTCAGTTACCTAATGACCTTATTCTTAAGCGTGTCTGAGCTGCCTACTTTCGTGAAGTATTATGCAACGCGCTGGTATAACTACAAATTGAGTACTCCGCTGTGTTTACTTGAGTGCACTGACTCTGTTTCCCAGAAGCCCCTAACGCGCATGCGTATACCGTGTTGCCTGACAGTGGTAAACAGACGTCAGAAGGGAGTCTTCGCCTCGAGTCAAAACAAAACAAAACAAGTCAAAATCGGTATAGAAGTGGACGACGGGATCAAATCTGTGAAAATAAGTTTATCAAATCTGACCATTGGATAAAGACTACTACTTGGAGGAAGTTTGTGAAGTGTTTTTCGAGTTTTTTCGCGGAATGCAAACTCTGGAGTAGCAGGAGCTTAAGCGGCTAACATTACCGCGGCTATCGTGCTCTTTTCAAACTGCG